GGGGGTGTTACACCCCGTACACACCCCTAGAGCGACGTCCCTGGATTCCAAATTGAGTGAGTAAATTAGCTATTTTGAATGCATTACATTAATGCAAATGGCTGCCATGAATTTGCTTCTGTATGATTTTCTCATGTATGTTACTGGTCGGTTAGGTTATCAGCTCGAATTTTTAAGCTGGTAAAGGAGCAAAGAATAGAAAATTCTGGAAATGCTGGAAATGCTTTCAAATATAGAGAAAGTTAACTAGTAACAAATTACTTGTTGCTTGTGATGTTACTCTGAGTGTATATCCACACCGGGCAAGCTTGAAAAATATGCCTGACCACGGTGGGAATCGAACCTACAACCTTTGGAATACTAGCCCAATGCTCTGCCAACTGAGCTACACGGTCTGGTCGGTTCGGGTATGTGATATATCGGAACAGAATCTAGTTCCTTCGATATCAATGTTATCTAATAATTATCATGATTTTTCTGTGTTGGTGTAATGTACTCAGGTGAATATGATGCTTGTGATGTTACTCTGAGTGTATATACACACCGGGCAAGCTTGAAAAATATGCCTGACCACGGTGGGAATCGCACCTACGACCTTTGGAATACTAGTCCAATGCTCTGCCAACTGAGCTACACGGTCTGGTCGGTTCGAGTATGTGATATATAATAATAATCATGATCTTTCTGTGTTGGTGTAATGTACTCAGGTGAATATGATGCTTGTGATGTTACTCTGAGTGTATATCCACACCGGGCAAGCTTGAAAAATATGCCTGACTACGGTGGGAATCGAACCTACGACCTTGGAATACTAGTCCATTATTAGATGACAGTATTAGTATTAGATAACATTGATATCGAAGGAACTAGATTCTGTTCCGATATATCACATACTCGAACCGACCAGACCGAGTAGCTCAGTTGGCAGAGCATTGGGCTAGCATTCCAAAGGTCGTAGGTTCGATTCCCACCGTGGTCAGGCATATTTTTCAAGCTTGCCCGGTGTGGATATACACTCAGAGTGACATCACTAGCATCATATTCACCAACACAGAAAAATCATGAAAATTACTTGTTATTATAAAGAAAAAGTTTTCTATCCGGATTCTCACCCCGCAATCCAATACCCGCATTTTCAACAATGTATGGATGGTCACGTGGAATGGTTTGTCCAATGAGGAGTACTGTATTGTTGTTCATTTGCTTGCTAATTGTAAAAATAGGTACGCAGTGCGTACATGTTGCATGCCATCTGAAACTTATGATGCGCTATAGCCTATAGCGCTTATAACCTTTGGTACAACTGGCGTGAAACTTAAAATATTGATTCAATAAGTTTAATATCAATATATTTATTGAAAATAGCTATTATGTCAAAATAAGAAAACTTAAGATTCTCACACGAATTAGCTTACGGTGTAGACCGCAGCAGAAACACGCGAATAGGCAATGTTTTTATAAGCGACCGTTAATAGTTAGTTGCAAGCGACGGTAATAATAACACTAACAAGGTCCGAGGTGGGTTAAGGTTTTATCGAAAGCGATTGCCTGTTAGATTTCCTTCACAAATTTATAACTAATAACGTTATTTCCTTAAGATTAAGCTTTATTGTAACTTTTTAAAGGAAAAATTACTATAATAGATTGAAAATGACTATTATTTATCATTTTGACGTTTTGAGTCACAGAATAGAAATTTGAGTGATTGAAATGAGTTAATTTACACTATATCGAATGTCATGTTGAATGTCATGTTGAATCTTCTGCGTACTTCACAATGGTTGCTATTTCATGTTATTTACAAAATGTGCTATTGTGATGTAGTTTTGAAGCTTTGCACAATATATAAAGGGACCTTTAGCAAATAGGTGATGGGCCGACGGCAACGCGGCGACGACGGCTAAAACAAACTCGTTCAAATATGTAACTTTAAGAACATGTTTGGTATTATCCGTTGTATGAATTTATTGCAGTTTAAGAAGGTTAAGACAGAGGTTTATAGGTGAGAAGGCTTCTACTAAGCCAATTTGCCGAGGACGACTTCTCGATGCTTGAAAGGCAGACGTTGTATACAAAACGTGAAAAGCTTTGGTTTGCTGTTGTAAACAGAGCAAGGACGACGTCTAAAACTCCCATGGGACTTTAATTATGCATTTTCTTTCTACACTGTCATAAATTTCATTGTATAAATAGCCGTCGCCGTCCTGTTAGCTATTAAAGGTCCCTATAATCAGTGCGAGCACAATGGCTCCGTTTCAGTTTGAGTATATAAAAATCGAGCATTTTGATAGCGTTGGGTTTTGAGGCTTTCACGATATATAAATATATTAAACGCCTCATAATTGATAAATAATCAGTGCGAGCACAACGGCTGCAAAATCACAACAAATAACAAAATACAAGGTAAGTTAAAAACAGTAAAGCTTTACCTACCTCGATTTATTTTTCTAAGGCGCTCAATTATGTAAATTTTCGGCGAATAATCAGTATTTCTTTGCGTTTCCTCGACGAAAACCCGGCATCAAAATGCTCGTCGGAAAAACTCGGTATTTGCCGTACACTCGTACTTTACGAATCTACCACGTGATTTGCGACCGGTACGCACACTGAACACGACGACACGAAATTTAGAGCTATATGAAAGTTGCATGCCATATATGGCATGCAACAAAAAACCTGTTGCTGTGTCGCCAGATCTAGACTCGCCACAGTGTTGCGGCATATTATTCTCAGTGGAAAGCAAGTCAACGGTACTGTATATATCAAGGATTACCAAAACAGAATCGCTTCGAAGAAAAGGTAGGCATAGTTGACCAACTAGTGTTGGGACTTGCTACTCAATTGCAGGGTAAAAGTTGTCACAATTCGAATATTCAGATATTAAGATTTGCCGTTTTATTCATGTGGGATAGTATGGAAAGTAATTTCGAATGCAGACGTTATATATATTTCAGTGTGGATGACACACCGAAACTTTCTGAGTTTAGTTTACGGATTAATACATAAATTCAAACATATTCTGCAAATTGTTTATTACAACATGTCGCAAATGTGCTAAAGTAAGTAAAAATAGCCAAAATTTTTATCAGAATCGAAATCGCACACCTGCACTTCTGCATATATTTAGCGATCGCCATTGGGAAGAAGCAATTGCATGAATGTCAAAACTACAACTTTGGCTAGCTACGCCTAAAACCTATCACTGAGATATATATCACGTACAGATATCAGTGCCAGTCAATGCTATATATAGCGGAGAGAAAAGCCTATAAATTGGCACTCAAATAACCGTTATCACGGCGAGTTGTTAGCATCAAAAGGTTTACTACGTAAACATAGAATAAATTAATAGCAAAATTCCAAGAAACGGGTTGACTGTGGGGAAATTACATTTTAGAAAATTCAATTTTAATTTGTACCAAATTAAAATATATTAAAATGCAAATTAAAATGCAGACGTTATATTTCAGTGTGGATAACACACCGAAACTTTCTACGAATTTAGTTTACGGATTAGTACATAAATTCAAACATGTTCTGCAAATTGTTTATTAGAACATGTCGTAAATGTGCTAAAGTAAGTGAAAATAGCCAAAATTTATATCAGAAGCGAAATCGCACACCTGCACGTCTGCATATATTTAGCGATTGCCATTGGAAAGAAGCAATTGCATGAATGTCAAAACTACAACTTTGGCTAAGCCTAAAACCTAACACTAAGATATATAACACGTACAGATATCAGTGCCAGTCAATGCTATATATAGTTGAGAGAAAAGGCAATAAATTGGCACTCAAATAGCTTTTCTCACGGCGAGTTGTTAGCATGAAAGGGTTTACTACGTAAACATTGAATAAATTAATAGCAACATTTCAAAAAAAGGGTCGACTGTGAAGTAGTGTGTTCAGTAAGCTTGATTTAATTAAAGCGTGAGTACCACCAGTTGGAACTAACCCCTAAATCAAAAGATATATATTACTACATTTGTCACCCACTGTGGATTATACAGATATAAAAAATTACTGTTTGGAGCCAATTCTGCATGAGAGCAAACCAACACGAGATCCAGAAAGTATTTACAGAATTGGAAGGACAGGTAAATATATCTGATAATATTATCTTGCATGGGCAGAACCAATAAGATCATGACATTCGGTTAGAGAATGTTATCAAGCGACTGGGAGATTTTGGTTTAACACTCAATGCCGTCGAAAAGTGTCAAATTAACATGAGTCGTCTGACATTTGTTGAAATGGTTTTGTCTGGAAATGGCATTAACTGCACGGAGGAGAAGGTGAGAGCAGTGGTTGAAGTGATAGAGCTAGAGTTAGCATCAGAAGTGCGAAGCTTCCTGGGTCTAGTGAACTATTGTGGTAGATTTATTCCTGACTTGGCAACCATATTAGAGCACCTAAGATGTCAAACTAAGAAAGGGGCACCATTCAATTTTGGCTCGGAGCAGACGGAATCGTTTCAAGAATTGAAGAATCGGTTATCAAGTACCACAACACTTGTGGTTATTTTGATAAAGACGCACCAACTCAAGTAGTTGCTGATGCGAGCCTTGATGGGTTAGGAGCGGTGTTGACTCAGACGCATAAAGGTGGTCCACGAGTTATCAGCTACGCAATTAAGTCGTAGCCTTGCTGAAACCGAAAAGAGATACTTGCAGACAGAGAAGAAAGCCTTGGCTTTGGTGTAGGCTTTCCAGAAGTCCCACCAGTATGTATATAGACTTGCTCCAAGTCTCTCTTTTTGGACATCTATATATTGTACATATATATTGTACGTTACATGACGTACCGCTGACGGGGAGAGGAGGAAAGAGAGACTTGTAACATCTGGCAGCAGACATACTTCCGGCTGGTCAATTTCGACCAGCCGGAAGTAGATGGCCGCATTGACTTATCACGTGTTTAGGGGGGGAAGGCGACATCTGGACTTTCAGAGTTATTTGTT